CAGTCTTACTTGTCAGGAATTCGACGAGTGAGAAGTTAAGTCAGGCTGGGATAAATTATGAGAAAACAACGGATGCGTCTGCTTCAGACCATGGAAGTAATCATAGATTGATTGTTAGGCTTCCTAATCCTGGTCGCAGCCCTGCAAGAAGCACCAGCGGAGGCTCCTTGGAAGACCCTTCAGCTGGTAGCAGAGCATCATCTCCTGGTGTCCCAGATAAACCTGAGCGTGGAGATCGGAAGGTGAATGGAAGGGATGATGTTGTTAGAACTTATACTCCTGCAGATTTCAATGGAGAATCATGGCAAAGCAATGATGTTAAGGAGGGATTAGTCGCATGTGATGAGGGTGATAGATCACCTGCTATTATACCTAATGAAGAAGTAAGAACGGCTGATGAAACTCTGAGGGCTATAGAAATTTCTAGAACTGCCTGTTCATCATCAGGTAATGATAAGGGTGTCAATGTTAGTGAACCCAAGATGAGGAATTCTTTTAGCTCCATGAATGCGTTGATTGAAAGTTGTGCTAAATATTCTGAGGCTACTACACCTTTATCAGGAGGAGATGATATAGGCATGAATTTACTTGCGAGTGTGGCTGCAGGAGAAATTTCCAAATCTGATATAGTTTCACCCCCTCCATCTCCAGGAGGTTCTCCTGCAACTGAGGGCCCTTGCAGTGGCATAAATGAGGCTAAGTCTAGGTTTTCTGCTGGCGATTCTGGGTTTCGAAATCTTGGCCCTTACGATGAAAATACTGATTTCAACTCTGAGAAGCATGGAAAGAATAATATTCCCTTGTTTCCTAAGGATGAGATACAAGAGGTGGGTGTGAACTTCCCATGTGATAACATTGGTGCCACCCCTGTGTTAGAAGACAGAACTCAACAAAATGGGCTTCTTCCTGGTACGATTATTTGTAAAAAAACTGTGGAACATTGTTTTGTCATTGGATTAATGTCAAGAATTATTGTCGTATGTTTTTAATCTTACAGATATAAAAGAAAAGCGGGAGGAGGATGAACATCAGAACCAGGATGATCGGAGGATTGGTGGGCAGGTTGCAGATGTTCTTACAGATTGCAATTCTGAGGTAAGGAGCCCAACAGATCAAATCAAAACCAGCTGCTCTGTTCATGAAACGATTGTAGAAGGAAGCAAGTTCACATCTGATTCTATTCGCAAATCTTTGCCTCACGGGATTGACTCTGAGGGTTCTGCATCTTGTAAAAATATTGATAAATTAGTGATTGGGGATTCATCAACAGCTCATCCTTTTGAGGAGAGTGTTCAGGTTACTGCCACATTAACCGGACAAAAACCACTTTCTGTTAATGAAACCGAAACAGTGGTGGAAAGAAAGGGGGTTGATGGACCTGCTTCCTCTCTTATTGATAAGCTTCCATGCCCAGAAAATGCTGATTCAACAAAAAGTAAGATGATTGATAGCTCAGATGGTCGATGCCAAGACCAGACTGAAAGGAATGGATCAACCATCCCTGCCACAAGCAACAAAGCATATCTTGCATCAGTTTCCAGCACTCATGGCAAGCCCAATGGTGCAGAGACCGTAGGTTCGGGTGATCGTGATCAAATGCCCACTGTACATAGGGAAGCTGAGGCATCTGCTAAAATATCTGCCGCTGATGGAGAAAGAAAGGAGGAAGTTTCAGCTGACATTTTGTCATTTGCTACCACTGCCGAGCAAGATGCCGGGGCTAAGCTTGACTTTGACTTAAATGAAGGTATACTTGGAGATGATGTGAATCAGGTTGAGCCAATTTCAGCAGCTGCACCTGTTTACTCGCCTGCAATAAGAATCTCAAGTTTCTCATCTCTTTCATCTTCTTCGCCCATTCTAAACGGATCGCCAGCTCCCATAACTGTTGCTGCTCCAGCGAAAGGATCTTTTATGCCTCCTGAAAATTTGTTGAAGAGTAAGGGTGAACTGGGATGGAAAGGCTCTGCTGCTACTAGTGCATTTCGCCCTGCAGAGCCTAGAAAGGTTTTGGAGATGCCGCTCAATACTTCTGATGTGCAGTCATCGGACTCTACCACGACAAAGCAGGGACGTCCTCCATTGGAAATTGATCTCAACGTTCCTGATGACAGATCTTTGGAAGATGTAGCTTCTCAGAGCTCTGCTCAGACAACAGGTTCTGAGTCAGGTGTGATTAGTAACCGTGATTTACCTGCAAAAGCTGGTGGAGGACTTGATCTTGATTTGAACAGAGTTGATGAAGGTGCAGAAAATGGTCAGTTCTTGGCCAGCACCAACCATCGATTGGAAGTACCACTGTTGCCCACAAAGCCAGCGGCAAATGGATTCCCTAATGGTGAGGTCTATATGTTAAGGGACTTTGATCTTAACAATGGACCTGGCATTGATGATGTCGTTACAGAGCCACTTCCAAGAAGCCAAAATATGAAGAACAGTAATAATATACCATTTGTTCCTCCTATTGTTGGTCTCAGAATGAATAATGCTGAACTGGGAACTGGCTGGTTTCCAGCTGGTAACTCCTACCCGGCGGTTACTATTCCATCATTCTTGTCTGATAGAGAGCAAACTTACCCAATGGTTGCAGCTGCAGGGGCCCAGAGGATTTTGGGGACCGTAACCAATGCCGGTTCGTTCGGAAGTGATATATATCGAGGACCAGTACTTCCATCTTCGCCAGCCATGGCTTTTTCGCCAGCTGCAACTGCATTTTCTTATGCTGGTTTTCCCTTTGGCTCCAGTTTTCCTTTGGTATCTACATCTTTCTCTGCTGGATCAACAAACTATGTTGATTCTTCATCTGGGGGACCATACTTCCCTCCCATCCCTTCTCCGCTTGTTGGAGCTGCAGGTGCTGTTTCATCCCCTTATGCCAGACCCTACATGGTAAGTCTACCAGAAGGCAGTGCAGGTGGTGGATCTGATGGTAGTAGGAAATGGGGGCGGCAATGTCTAGATCTCAATGCAGGTCCGGGAACTGCAGATGAAGTAAAAGACGACAGAGTGTCCTCAACAAGACAGCTTCATGCTGCCAGCTCGCAGAGCTTCATGGACGAGCAAGCAAGGCTATATCAAGTTGCAGGTGCTGTGTTAAAAAGGAAGGAACCAGATGGCGGTTGGGAACCGGAAAGATTCACTTTCAAGCAGCAGCCTTCATGGCAGTAATACCAGCGATGATATTCGTCGGTGATGGACGTGTGTGGTGAGCTACCAGCTAGATTTTCTGTTCTCTCTCTCTTTTTGTTTTTTTTGGTTCTTCCCATCACTCAAAATATGATAGTGTTAATGATATGTATTTTAATTCTAATGCATCTGGATAAGTAATACCTTGAATTGCAGGCTCGGGAGTTTGCGGATTGAATCAAAATTTTCTTTCTCACTAAGTTACACACACACTAGATCATATATGTCATGGAGTTTGCCTCAATGCCGTTATTGGGCTCATCCAGATGGAATCCTCGATGTAATTCTTGTAAATGTTGAGATACCATGCTATGCTAGAAACCAATTTTTCATGGATATGGTAATTTTTCTTTGTTTCCATGCAACCAAGCAAAAAACTCCAGCCGTGGTGAAGCTAGAGGATGAGCTTCTACGACTGCCATAGAGAAGGTAACCGAATTAATTCGTTGATTTCTCTTGGCCTCTTGCCAACTGTGACTGTATTCCGAAGGTATTCTTAACTGTACCTGGAGATTAGGTGTTCTTTGTAGATATGTGACTTTAACATGCTTGTTTGAGTTTCTTTCCTCCAGAAACTTTTAACTTGCCAACAATGGCAAATGCTGTTTTGGTACATTTGCTTTCCATCTGGAACATCCTCAATGGCACAAAACTTACATGACTGGATCATATTGTATGCGCTGTGCTAAGAACATAAGAATATTGTTTGTATTTATAGTTTAGATAAATTTTGTCTATCTCTCTCTCTCTCTCTCGTTTTCATCTAACTATTTTATTCACATCAAATTATGTTCCAGTTAAAGCTTTCATTATGCTGCTAGAACTTAAGTTGCTACACAATAGTCTATGCACTGCAATGATCTTTTATAACTTAACAAATTGTATTGGAAATCCAATATTTGATAAGACTCAATGTCTCATACATAAACTCATAATACAGCTTTCTTTCTTTAAATTAAATTCTATTCTAACCACATCATGTTATTGCTATTATTATGATTGTAGTTGTATGATTGCACTAGAGATAATCAACTTTACTATTAAACTATAAGAAGATCGCTTGGGCTTTTTGACCTTTTCTATCCAAATAATTATCACCTATATATGCATGCCACAACTCCATTGATTTTATCTCTCAATTTGATTTGTTTGTGTTTATATAATTATTCTTCCGTTTAGGACCAACTGTTTCAATTAATTTTTAAAGTTTGTAGTATAAATAAAAGCATAGAAGCGCACTTCTTTCTTCTTATGTTATATTCAAAGTTTTTAATGTTCTCTTGTTTGAGTCATGTGACTCAATTATATAGTTCAATATTCTCTTGTTGTTGTTGTGAATCTTTATGATTTAATTAGTATTTTTGTTTCAGTTACATCTCCTGTTTATGCGGGTTTTAGGTTTCGGTTTGGTGAATGTCCCATATTTGTATTCTGTGTACATTCAGGTGTGTGTCGCATTTTTTTTTTAAATATAAAATTTAGTAGCGGTTTTAACCGCTACTACATTCCAGAAATGTGGCAGTTAAAACCACCACCTTATTGGATATCATTTTTTTACATTATTTATGACGGTTATAATTGGCACCATTCTGAAGCGTTGCATCGGTTATAACCGCTGCTAAAGTATGCATATCTACCCCGCCGGTCCTTGAACCGCTGCGGAATGTCATTGCAGCATATTGCAATTCAGCGGATATGTAGCGGTTTTAGAACCGCTGTAAGGAAAATAATAGCGGTTAAAACTGCTAGGATAGGTCAAAAATTGTGCTGCGGTAGCCCCATTTTTTTATAGTGGTAGGAGCTAGAATGATTTCCAGCGAAATAAAATTCCATCGGAAAAAATTGTAATGGATTTACGAATCATGATCTCGATCTTAGTATACTTTGTAACTTACTTTTCTTTTAGTTTAGACCTGATTTAATATTTTATTCTCGAGTTATGCATAAGATTTCTACTAAGCGTGAAAATTATTTAAATAAGCAAGAACATTAATAAAATAGTGAAATCTAGTTGAATATATGAATTACATTCATTTAATCAAATAAGTAAAATTAAAAGCAATAAACATCATAAACATTCCAGTACAATTGTGTCACATTGAGTTCACCCATTCCATATGTCAATTTAATTATGCCACATGCATGTTAGTTTTTTTATCAAATAATTGCTCGGAGATAATAATACCTTCATAAATAGTCGAATTTCGGATCGTATGTATTAATTTTCTCCTAAATTAATCTATTAAGCATAATTTTTTGTGACATTATATGATTTGATTATTACCATTTTATACCACTCTAAATAATCCCATAGCTGATTAAATTTATAAGTGTATTTATTCCTATTCTATACCAACGAATTTCTTTTTGTTTCATCTAAGCTAAGTTCCTAAGGTTTTCAAGAAACTTTGCCTTACCATTGATCTCTCTCTCTCTCTCTCTCTCTCTCTCTCTCTCTCTCTCTCTCTCTCTCTTAATTTTTTATTTTTTTTTAATAACAAAAAAGAAAATTCATTAAAATAAAAAAAAGTATACAAAGAATACCAACTAGGAAGATGCACAAAAACAAGCCCTCCTCAACAAAACAAAACAAGGAAGAGAAAAGCATCGACTAAGCTAAAATTGCCCATTCTTGCAGAACTCTTTGATGGGAGCCAACCCCTCCACCCTCCATCTTCCGCTTCCTTGGTAGGTTAGAAGTTGGCCCCAAGCGTTGAAGTTCTTTTGTAAAACGAGTCATTGAGACTCTATCTTTTCTTGGGCGAGAACACGAAGGATGTAAGAGGAAGGGCTCAGTGGAGACCTTGAATGGATTGTTGGAGAGACCAGCATCCCTAGCAGAAGCAACTAGCTTGGCAGGTTCATGAATTTCCCCACAAGAGACTGGTGAGGAAGGGAGTGTAGCCTTCAGTCCTCCAATATCGACATTTGAATTCATCTTCTTTTGTCTCTTAGATTTTCTTGAAGTGAGTAGACACCAATGCCCATATCTATCAGAATTTTTCCCTTCTTTTGAACATTGATATTTTTTTTTTAGAAAACCCTCGGAGGGGCCTATGCGTTAATTCAAAAAAGGATTACAAGGTCCTTAAAAGGAACCTCCAGCTCACTACTGCTCACAAGAGCTACAAAATAAAATAAAATAAAACCTAAGAGCCGGTGGTTCCTTATACTAAGATTTATAAAAATATATAATAACTTTATAGGACTGCAAGTAGACATCACTCAAAAAAGGAAGAACAAGAAAAGAGCAATCATCACATTCTTCCTGCAAAAATAGTAGGCTAACCTCCAATTACCAAAAAATCTTGAGCCCGTGATCTCCCTGCAAAAAAATGCTACGCCAATTGTCCAGCCTCCAAATATGCACAATTAACACACTACAACACAGAAGGGTAATGTGACAAAGAGGATGTGACCAATAAAGACAAAGGTAAAATGTCAAACAGTTGTTATTAATAAAATGAGATAAGGTGTCAAACCCAATGTCAGTCAAACTACCAGTATCAATGAGAGAAAATACAACAGCCTCGGTCAGAGTAAGGAGTAGCAAGGTACCACAAATATCACCAATAAAATTCACTATAAGAATCGGGTAAAGAGCACCAGATTTCCTAGAATTGATCCAGTCACAATTCTTAGCATACCTCACAGCAGTACAATCACCAAACAATCCAGAAAATAAGACAATATTAGATACCAACGAAAGAAGGACCTGGGACCCCAAGATGAAACAGCAACAGCCAACCACCAAAAGAATGTCAGAATTAACAGAAATCATATCCAGCCACATAGCAGCCAACCCAAAAACCCAATCCTTCTGAAGCAAATCGAGATTATATAACAACTCTAGATAACAGCACCCAGCACAACATAAACACACATTAGCCCGAGATCTTACAAAGCACAGTGCAGCATTACGAATGTCAGAAAAATGGAAAAAAAAATACAGCCGCATAGGAGCCACCCCAAAAACCCAATGAAGCAAATCGATAGTATTTAATAACTCCAGATAACAACTACCAACACTTGGTGTCCGATGCAGCAAAAACAGAGACGAAATAGCATAAAAGAAAGAGCCATCAAGCATTACACATATAAGGAAGCCCACATTTGTCTAGGTTAACCAAACCTCTTAACAAAGTAGGAAGATCAGAAACATCAAATTCCTGTACAACATCAATGTGACATCCAAATTTGGCCAACTAATTCGCACAAGCATACATTGTTCTCTTTTTCTTTATATAGAACTGATTGTTTTGGTAAATTGATCAATTAGTATTGAAAAGATATATTTTACCTGACAATATACTGCACTATAAACATTAATTACTTTTATTTTAAGAAGGAAAAGTTTGAGATAGAAATTATTCTTATACTTGCAAGATGCTACCAGGTAAAAAAAGGTTGAGGAAAGCTAGATGGCTATAATACAAAAAGGATAACTTGATCATTAAGAATCTATAGAAAATTATTTGGACTGAGAACATTTCTATAGGAAGTACTGAGAGTTGTGGTGGAGTGAAAAGTTTAATGTGGGAGTTGGTGTTAAAAGAGATAAGTGTTAGATTTTGTCAATTAAATTAGAAATGGAATGAGAGTTCTGATTGGAGGACTTTTGTTAAAAGGCAATTAAAATTGAAATAGCTTTTAAGAATAGATTAAGATGTTAATTACACACTACAAAAAATGTGTTATTGCAACACTAAATTTAGGCTTTCTCGATACTTTTAATCTCCACAAAACTGCTACAAGACTGTCGTGATTGAAATCTACTGCAAAGATCTTTCACTGTAATTTTAAGACCATCAGAGTATATCCATTGAAGTGCTGACTATATCAACGATAATAACTACAACAACATTACAGAATAGAGAAGATTATAACAGCTGTTGTAGTTAAATATTTTACAAAATTGTGCGTTTATAATCGCTGCAATTATGTGGAATTGTTAATATTAAAACTGGCACAATATTACTATATATTTTTTAAAAAAAATTCTCTTCCTGCATTGCTCCAATTATAAAAAGAAAATGTACACTGCAAAATATAATGTCTTTTAGGACATCTTAAAGTACCTTAAAATGTATCTATTAGGGCACATGATCTATTGGGACATCAAATAATGGTGTCACTTAGATGGCCTTGACATAGGCGTAAGGGCATCTTTATGCGCCTTAAAAATTAAACTTTTATGGCA